TTGTAATCAAATAATGAAGACAACTATTTATCAAAGTAACTTAGCTGTTGATTGATCAGTAAATAATCCTGTGTTCTGTGATTCATGAAGCTCTATTTTATAGTGTTTTGATGACTAGTCTCTCTAAAACTGGACTGACATTTCAAGTCATAATTGAGGATTATTGATTCAACTTCTTCAATCTCTTCTTTAGTTCAGGTTCTTTGTTTGCTAACAGGAATCTTAAAACTGTTCATGATTGTAGGCTTCTTTGAACATTTTTGTTTATGTTGACTTTTTTCTTGAGCTATTGAATATCACAGATTGAATCTGAATTTTCTCTAATTATATAGTCCCATCAGTTTGATCTATAAAGTGATAAGAAACAAATTATTTAATCAAGTTTGCTAGTTCAAAGTACTGCATTTTACAAACTCTTTAGCCATTATAAAACAATCATTCAGGTGTTTACAAGAAGAAAAAGTGCATCTTTATGATGGAAATGGTTTCTTTCACAACTATAGTGAATATCCACAAACGTATTAGCAAATTATTCTTTACTTTTTAATAGATAAAGGCTAATTAACACATATGCTTATTAAAATGGACAAGCACTAAAAATCACATTCAAGATGTGTCACAAATGACAATAATGAGAAATTATTACTATTTTTCACTTCTGAGCAAAGATATGATTGCATACCATTGCTGTGAGATTTGCTGTTATTGCTTTTTAATGTTTCAAGACTTTTATTTTGAGAAATGCAATCACATCTGAGCTACATAATGAAATAAAAAGACTGATCGTTGTTTGGCCAGGCATTCTCTTTACTTTTTTTTTTCTTTTTTTTTTTCTTTTTTGATAATCACCTCTTTCCCATATAGAATTTTAAGACTCAACATGGAGCTTCCAGGTATTCGTGTGAATAGAGTTCTGTTGCAGAAATATAAAAGATTAAAGACATCTTTTGATTGAAGTAATATTAAAAATATGATATTTTTTGTTTTGCTTTTGAATTTACCAAGCTTGCTTCTTTTTTTTTTTTTAAATAAGTTGAAACTTATGAGTTTGTTTATTAGTACTTATGGGTTACTTTTATGAGTAGAATTTCTCAGCAGTAAAATATTTGTAAACAAAATGCATTGTTAAAAAAGGTGCATAAATTTACCACACACATGCAGAAAATTAATGCATATGATTAAACTTACCAAGGTAGTCAGGTGAAGATTTATCGACTTCCCGTATGTCACATCCTTTTCGTATGCAATTACGTCAAATTTTCAACAAGTGCTTGATGAACTGATACTAGGCTTAGCAGTAGTGTTTTCTCTTTTAAAGTCTCCTTACTAAATGCTGATATACGGAACTAGATTTTCTTCTTGTAGATTTGTTTCTAGGGGATTTGTTTATCAGGTCAGACGGAAGTGGCTTCAGGATCAATGCTCATTTACAAAAGGTAACATGATCCATATGTTTCATTAAACTTCATTCCCTTTATAATTCTTTTTTTTTGTACTTTTCACATCGATAGAGTTTGGCAAGAAAGATCTCAATCAAGTATATAATAAGCTGCAAGAGCAGATGAAATGTCTCCACCCCTCCAATAATCCCTTTTTTTTTTTAACTTGTCTTAATTCATTTGGCTGGATCTAACTATGCATTGTTCATCCTTCCTGAAAGAATAGTAGTGATATATCACTTGGTTACATTGTTTACAATCAGATTTTAGTTTTTAACAAGTGTGCTAACTATCTGAGTAATTCTGAATGCAGACAGATTTTAGTATCAGAATATTTGAGAATTCATCCAAACATAGGTAATTCACCATTTTGTTGTGTTGCAGAATTGATTGGAAACCATCAGAATAGATTTAGGCATTCTTTGATTGGGTGAATTGAAACTGAAACTTGGGAAAAATGATCTATTTGGTAGATAACTTGTGAGGAAGCACTAACCTCAACAAATGTTTAAATCTATTGTGTAATTAACACACATTTTCAGAGGGCTGAGTGAACACTTTGAAATGCGGGCAATCTTTGCACTATGACATTTTCATTTTCTGTAAAGATTTTTTTTCAAAACTCATACACAAACCAAAACATATTACCCCAAAACTGGTATGAGTAAGTGCTTTTGATTTTACTTAGCATTGGATGTGACCGTGGATGGAGGGAGGATTCTTTCAAGAGAACGACAGAAGAAAACAAACTCAAAGACTTTATTTGCAAGACTGTGACAATATGTATTTCAGTATTCATTAAGTTTGGCTTCTTAGAAAAAGTGGTAAGTTAAAAAAAATAGTGATTGCCCTGTCTGATAGTTGACAGTGCAAGTGTATTCACTATAAGTAGGGGTTTTAGGAATGTAAAACTTTTTTTTTTTTTTTTGACTCCTTATGCTGCTTTCAAGGTTATATTGTGATCAGATGAAGTGGAACAGATCTTGTTGCCTGATGAAATATGCAAATGTCTGGAAATTTTACAGCATTCAAAGCTGTGCTTTCCAACCCCACAGGAGACACCCAGGTGCACCGCAGTTGGGCAGGCTGGAGTGGTGAGGCTCTCCAGGAAGAAGTGCAGGCTTCTGTGGGAAGGGGACAGACAGTCAGCAAGTGAAGGCGTACCCTTCCGGGGGAGTAAAACCACCTCTGTTGTGGGGAGAGCTGAGAGCTATGCTCTCATGCTCTCTGCTCCCAGCACTCTTTACATTTTTTGTGTAGTGCATAAACAGGCTCTTTTGCTGCCTAATTGAAATCTTCTGAATGTGCTTTAAAGCTGCTACTATGATTTTACCTTCACAACTTCTTATATGAGAGTATTTAGGTGGCCCTTTGCTGACACCAGTTCCCAGGTTAGTACAGGGTCTACCACACTAGACCTTACTCCTGCTCTTCAGCTCATGGAAGCCTCATCCTAAAGCTAAATCTACCCCCAACTTCTGAATGTCTAAACATTCAAATACTGCTATTCTGTTTGCTTACATGCAATTAAGAGGATGGCAGAGACAGCTGGAATAGAAAGAAAGCTGTTTTACATTTCTAAGATACCAGTACCCATACCTGGGCCTTCACAGCTGTCATGTGGGATCATTTTTGAAAGAAACACTTGGCTAAATATTAGTAAAAGAAAAAAGTTGGAGTGCTAGCAAGAGATCAGGACTGATGTGAACTCTCTGACATGTAGTGCTGGAACTGGTTTAGCTGGCTTTGGGTGTAGCTAGGCAGAAACTTTATGTAAGGCCATTTTCGATCAAGTAGTCTAACTGAGATCTCGAGATTTTATTATTTTATTCTAGCTGAGAGTTATCCTTAATGTGATCAGTATACTTATATTAACCTAGTAGCAGTTATATAAAAAGAAGTTATTCTATATCCTTCCCATTTGCCAGTGCTATAAATTGGAAACAATCTCTGACTCGGAGTTAACTTCCTTAACTCAGAGTTAAAAATATTCTTAAAAGTTTAAGCACTTCTCTGGCTTAACTTGGGTTGCTATTTTTTGATTTAGGTGAAATCATAATTGCCCTAATTTTGCCCAGAATTCACTCCTACTGCCTAACTTGCCTCTTAGTCCTGATTGTAATAAAGCAGGTACTTCTCTCAGCTTGGACTGTGTATGCATACTTAACTGGCTCCTATCACCACCACTTCTCAAGTTAGATAAGCTACTGCCTTTCCAAACAAGTATCATCCTAGCTCTAACTATAAACTCAGCCCTAGACAAACCTTTACCATAGCATTAATTCCATGAACTATAATTTTCATCCTCAGAAGCAAATGTAGGCAAGTCATTAAACTGACTAAGCTTCAGTTACCTTGCATGTCCTTTCTTAAATAAATAATTACATTAGATGAATAGCCTCTTCTGGTCTAAATCCTAACATTCATGCTCAAATCTCAGCTTTCTGTCTACTAACTTTACTCTAAAGTACACCTCCAATCTGGAGCTAAAGTTAATTGGTTGTCTCTTGTGCATCTTTTCCTGGTAGTCTCCTTTGAGCACAGCCAGTGACCCAGTTCATTGGCCTTTGTTGACCTGGACTGCAATGCCGCCATCAGCCTTAGCCATGGACATTTAAACAGTTGCAGAGTTTGCCAGGTGACTCCTCCCAGGGTTAATCTCCAAGTTAGACTTACGCCCCCTTATGAATCAAAACGATACTTCAGGTCAATGTTCTTTGCTAACTTAGAACATAACCATGTCTATCCTAAGCATTTTCTGCAGCCGTACTTCCCTGTTTATTCCAGTAATACGCATAGCCAGATGTTCTCCCAGGCCTCTGCAGTTACCTTCTGAACTCGTGTATGACTCATGCTGCTAAGTCTCTGTATGCTGGAACCTTATGCTTCATGTTACTTCATTAATGTAGACCAATAGCTGCTCCAGCCAGCCCTTCTCCCCTTTTCACCCGGCAAGCCACTTTTTAATGTAGGAGATCCCCAGATTCTGTCTCTACAACGCTTTATCCTCT